CATTTAGCTGTCTGCAAGTCGCCTGTGAATTTTCTCAGCACACGCATATGCATCGGTATGCAAGCTCTGATACAAAGCACCTTTCACACCTATACGAGGCGGTATTTATTTTGTGCGGGCCAAATTGTGCGCTTATTAAGCTTTCTTGGCTGATCTAGTTGATCTATCCGCTCTGGTTGCTGCGTCATATTTCGAGCAAGGGGAAGGTATCCGCTGCTTCAGAAAAGTTTCCCGTGGCGTCTACGCCCCGTTATTAGTTGAATTTTTAATCTTTTTGGCTGTGCGAACGTTGCCGGAAGCTGGTTTGAATGCACTGTAAGTCATGGTTGTTTGGTTGCAATATTCGGTAAACTGGCCTGCTCGTAGCGGCAGTCCGGAACCAATTTCGGGGTTGAGGTCGAATGATGCATGTCTAAACTGCAGCCACCTCATGCGCATCGAAAGAAAGTTATGTACGCGGCCAGATAAAAGAAGAAATGAGATAGGAATTCACAGAACTATAACCAACCTTGAAACGATCCTTGTGCTATCAGACAGTCTACAGACCTATTTATACTCAAATTGTCTTTTGAATATCGGCTTCTCCTCTGGAATGCGGAAATGTTGATTAAATTTCCCTCTGTCCCAACCCTATTTCACATCCGTGACCACTAGTTTGGTTATAAATGCATTAGATATTTTATGGCTCACTTAGCGAGCATACGTTTGCTTTGGATAAATTATCTTTAGGCTTTTACATTTATATCGTTTTGCAACTCAGTAAAATATGCGGGCTAGTAGAAAATATTGGTACTCGCCGTCTTGGAGCTCAATCTGGAGACTACGCAGGCAGTTGCGTAGCGACTTGTGACAAGGTGGAAACGACAAATACCAGTGATTTCTGCCTCATTAGCCGTACTCCGTCAGTCATTTTCAATTCGAGGTTTGGATCAACCGAGATTCGAACCCGCGACCTCCTGGTCATTGCGTGTAGCACTACCATACATATTCATAGTTGCAGTTTTCCCCATGAGATATTTGCGTTCATTGAAAGAGAACTTTGCCCTTCTGACCTATTTCAAATATGTCGTCGTCGTCGGAACGCCTCTACTTGTGAAGAGCTTTATGCTTGACTGCTGACGTGCTCTTCTGACGTGACAGTGATGACTATGCAAGCATTAGCTAGATCTGGATTTCGGTACTCGTGATCATACAGGCCTGTGAGGATTCGAGCGAGTCTTTTAAGCCTTGTAAGGGCAACTTTTACCTTAGTAGTAGGTGGTCCCAATGTGACAGGTGGCTCCTTAATGCGATCTGAGCCGCCTTTAGGATCACATCGTGTGTCACCCGCTGCGCGCACTCCCATCTATGCTCGTCTTGACATTATCTTTCTTTCGGGACAAAGCGGATGATCGATAAAGGAGTGCGGTAGAAGCTACACAAGTTACCAGTGCTTAGTCCGTGGGAAGCACGGTGGAAGTCAGCGCTTGTTCTGGCCAAATTGTCAGCTTTGGTTCAGCTCAGAAACTGGCAGTGATCTGGTCCGTCCCCAGTGCTGTTTTACAGGTGGTGCTGTGAGCAATCGTGCCTCTTATCTTCATAACTAACTTGAATACGCGGGTTCTCAGGTGTCCCAGCGATCGTTAAAAACGTATACTGAGCGAACAGTCTAAATACGTCCCCTTTGCAGTGTGGGTTAGCGTAATCTATACTCTTAGCTGTTTCTCAGTCTCGACCTCGAACCAGACTTTCCTTTAAATTACGTGACCTTTCCATGTAAAACCATTGTGTGGGATGGTGCGGTATAGTTGTACTGTCTGTCTACCCGCTGGC